CGGAAATAAAGTCTTTATAAATAGGGAAGGGTGGAGGGCGTGAAGGGAGGGCTAGGAATGGGGAAAAAATAAGAACCAAGATACATTATGTAAAGATACAATTCCCAATGAGAAATGTAATTGTGTTGTATATCTACAATGTACCAATAGAAGAATTTAATACAAAAAAAAAATTCCAGGGATTAGGGCTTACACATATATTTTTGGTAGGCACAATTCAACCCACTATAATTTCATTCATTTAAATCACAATGTGGAGAATTTGACATTAATTCTTTCAAGAATGTAGCTCAACTCTCTATTAGTTTAAATAATGTTATATATTTATGAGTTTATTTTTATATTCCTTGTATAGGTCAGATACTTATCTTGTTGTTGTTTTTTTTTTCTGGAAATCAAAACCAAGGGCTCTCTACCACAGAGCTAAATCTTAAGCCTTTTATTTTTTGAGATAAGTTCTTGCTAAATTCTCCAGGCTGAGCTTGGAGTTGGGATACTCCTGTCATGGCCTCCCAAGTAGCTGGAATTAGACACATGTACCACTGTAATTTTGTTAATTTTGTCTCAGTATTTAATTTTCATTGTAGTAAAGCATATATACAATAATGTTTACTATCTTAACTGTTTTTTGTGTACAGTTGTGCAGTTAAGTAGTACTAAATTTGTTATGTCTTATGTTTTTATTTTTAAAGGAAGAATTTTTCTCTATTAGGAAAATTTTAGTTGAACCAAAATTAGAAATATTTATTTTAATACATGCATATAGACAATATATATGTATATATCAGTTAGTGCACATTATATACATGGTGTATATATGCAAACATACATGTAAACACACAGACACACACACACAGAAACACTCATATATATATTCTCTCTGTTCACTGAGATGTCCTAGAGGCAGTGATACCTAGGAGTAATTTGTAATCCCAATATTAAGAGTTCCTTGGAAAAACAGATTACCCCAGGTTTGGGCCAGGGATAACACAAAAGGAGCTTGTTTCATCAGTAGTATCAGAAAACAATCGCTAAATAAAAGTGGAGGAGGGGGATGTCCAAAGGGCACAAGAGCTATTATAAAAGAGCTACCAGTGACCAAAAACTGGAATGACTTGAACAAAATAAGAAAAGCTTTTATTGGATTAAAACTCAAAGAGTAAAATAAATATGCAATATACATAATCAATGGTAGAAGTAAACAAGCAGAATGAAAGAAACATCTTTCTTACATAAGATTTCAGAATAATAAATGGTAGCCACAATGAAGAAAATAGTCACAATCGAAACACCAGCAATAATTGCCCCCAGCTAAATCCACTAATAAATGAGATCTAAATCTACTGATGAAACCTCTGAGTGAAGAGAATATTTGGCAACTCTGAGTATTTCCATAGACTATTATTTTGACAATTTTATCAGATGTCTAAAAATTTTGAAAGCCTTCACTTCTAAAATAGAAACCTAACTTCTCTTCCATGAAATATAAACGGTACCAAAAAAAAAAAAAAAGAAAAGAAATATAAACTGTACTTAATAATGTGCCTCAAATAAACAGGAAATGAAAAGGGAAAAATAGCAACTTCATAGTGGAGGAACCAGCAGACACCACCTCCCCCAGGAGATAGAGATGAGTATCATTGGTGATTGTCATGTGGATATCATGAGTCTCTTATACAGCATGAAGAGAAAGCCACAGCAACCTCGAGGTGTGCTTCCAAAGAATAGCAAGTCCACTGTGATTGTGAGAAAACATCAGACAAATCCAAGCCGAAGGCCATTCTGTAACATATATGATCAGTAATCCTCACAAGTGTTAACGTCACAAAAGACAGGGACAGACTGAGAAATTGCCATGGTGAGGGAATAAGTGTACATGATGACTAAAGGGAACATGGTTTTAAGGCCTTGCAGATCTCAAACGGCTGATGTTGGAAAAGTTATAAAACCCACATAAAGACTCTACTATATTTAATAACGTCACAATATTAAATTTTCAGTTCTGATAAATGTTCCATATTTATGTAACAAGTCCATGTAAGAAGAACTACGGAGAAAGGTATATAGGAATTCTTCTTTCATTCTTTAAAACTGTTTTGTAAATATCCCTTTATTTTAACATTTAAAAATTATTTTTTTAAATTAGTGTCTAAAGAGATATTAGGCAAATGTGAAAACAAAAGGAAAGGAGAAAAAGAAACGAAGAGAGGATGCAGGAATGGAAATGTTAAAATCAGGTGATATTAAATATATTGCTTACTATTTTAAAGAGGATATTATGTTATAATATAGAAATATTTATGAAAATGCAAAATACATTTAAACTTGTATACACAGGCCAGATAGGAACATAATAATAAAAAATTTAAAGTACACAGAAATCCAGGCAGAAGGAAACAGGTCACCAGCTGTGACTCAGCAGAACTCACTTCCTTCTATAACTATGGCTGAATTAGAGACTGAAAAGTAAGAATTTATTTTTAAAAATCCCCCAAAGCAGAAACAAACAAACAAACAAACAAAAAGGTTTGAAAGAAGAAAAGGAAGTTGAAGTTATTGCTTTGCCTCAGGCAGCTCCATGAACCTGAGATTTTTCCAGTGGCCTTTGTTCATTTTCCTGGAAAAGAATCTCTCTGGTTCTGCAGGTGGATGTGGTAAACACCAAACTTATGGAGGGCTCTTCTAACTTCCTGATCTCTGGAAGTCAGCACTCATAGGTTCTGGGCACTCTCTGATCTTCATTTCTCCAGCCTGTCTAATGCCTCTGCCAAGGCATAATGAATCTTCATCTCACCTTACTTGAAATTCTGACAGTGCTTCTGTTTTTCTCATTGAACCTACTGAGATTATCATAACATCAAAATTACATTGGTAGAGTTTAAATCACATCTTTCCAAATTGTCAAGTCTAGCCACAAACAAAAATAAACTGTAAGAATAAAAGAAATGTATAAATTGAATAAAATATTAGCAAATTCAATTTAAATAGCAAGTAGAGAATTTGTATAAGTTGAATATATTTTTGTAAAACATTAAAAAATAAACCCCACAATAGAAAAATAGCAAACTAACTTGAATTACTAAATATTTTGAAAAGCATTTAAATGGTAATTTCATATCAAATCTAAGGAACAAAAAAATCTTTTCACAGAATATATATTAAAGCTTTAAACACTTTTAGAAGAAAGGAAATCAATACTCAATTTAGGATACTAAGAAATAAAGTAAACCAGTAAAAAGCTAATAATATTATTAAAATATAATAAACATAAAATCTAAAGTTAATGAAAGACAAACAGAAGAATAAAAATAGAAAGAATAAATCCAAAGGGGTCCTTTGATTTAAACAATAAATCCAAAGCTTAGCTTTAAAAAATGTTTAAATAAAGTAGGTAAACCTTTGTGCAGTAGATGCAGAAAAGAATTCGATGTTTAGAAATAAGAATAGAGAATATAGCCCACTATAATGGAATATTAAAGAACTGTAAAAATTAATGTAATTTGTCAAGAATTTCAGATGTATTTATGATAAAAATGATTTATTTTTTATTTATGAAAATATGATGCATTTACACAAGTACAGTATATTTATAGTGATTAAAATTAAATTCTATCATTTGAGACCTCATGGATGAAGTGGATATCATTACGTTAAATGAAATAAACCAGGCACAGAAAGATAAGCACTGCACTATCTCATTCACATGTGGAATTTACAAATGCTAACATCACAGAATTGGAGAAGAAAGTGATGATTAGCAGAGGCTGGGGAGAGTGAGTTGGGTTGGGGTTAGAGGTGGAGAAAGAAAAATTAGTGGGTACTAAATTTCAATTTACACAGGAGAAAGACATCATGTTGTGTTAATGCACAGTATAATGACTGTAGATATCAATGATGTGTGTGTATTTCAGGAAGCTAAAATGAAAGAGTTTGAATATTTTCTCCATGAAGAAATATAAGTGTTCAAGCAGATGGACATGTTTAGCATAATTTAGTCATTACATCATACGTACATATATCAAAATACCATGTGGTACTCCATTAACACATGTAATTTTTATGTTTTTCTGCATTAATTAAAAATAAGTTTCACCTTAAAATACTGAAAAATAAAGCTTATTCTTTACTGTGACTACTATGTCATATAAAGTTAACTGCTTTTTCTCCAACATAGCTAAATAAATTGCTCAACTGTTTAAATTTCCTTAATTTGAGTGCCCACTCTCGATATATAAAAAATGTACATAGTCTAATGTCTTTTTCTGAGTCATCTATGCTACTCTAATCTATTTCACTTACTTTTGCCTTCTTAAGCACATGAATAAATATATGCTCCAAGACTCAGAGATTCTTAAAGCTTAGTGAACCTTTTAGTGATCATTATTTGGTCCATCATTTATCAGATGCTGAAAATATTCTTCAATGAGTACATTGTGAGTAGATTTTTCTAGAAGTGAAGAACAAATCAAAGAGTTTCTGAGGATAATTAAGAATGAGAAATCCCATATGCTGATTTTTTCTCTTCCAAAATTTACAGAATATATTAAGACATCAAAGGCTCTACAAAATCCTGCAGTAACTAAGGATTTCTCAGAAATATATAATCACTCATCTGTACTGGGAAGCCTAATGGTCTACAGAACACTGCAAAATACCAGATGGTTCTGCATGCCACTGTATGTATCATCTTTTGCATCATACCTAGTTCCAGCTGAGAGATGTTTAAAAACAAAGCACACCATGGGCTTTTGGTTTCTTCTACCTGTTGGAGGTGTCCTTATAAAACATAACAAATACAAATTCCTTGATGTTAGCAGATTTTATTCTTCTTTGATGGTCAATGGAAAACATGTTTTATGGGGTAGAACATTTTTCCAAAATGGAGATAAATTTCTCAGAAGTCCGAGGGTAGGTTGCTTATGACGCTCTGTCACATGAAGACTAGAAAATTAGTAAGTCTGGGGACAAGAAACAGTCCTCAGTTTCTGGAACTCTGACTGTCATGTCTCTGTGTGCTGATTTGCCCCGCTTCCTTTGTTCCCTCATCCTAGCCCCAGGATCTCTTTTTTTTAATCATCATTTTACAGTACTTTTTCTCCAATCCCCAAAATTATGTGTAAACTTATATGTGATGTTTTTCTTCTAATTATTCAAACTCTCTAAGTTGTAAATTCCTTGAAGCTTTTAATACTCCTTCATCTAAAGTTTGGAAGCTCTGAATATTTGGCTCAAAATTGCCCTTTTTGTGCATAGTTTTTTAAACTGTAATTTGAAGCTCCAAAGTTTAGCATTGTCTACACTATTTTTCCCTTTATCCTCTGTCAGCTTTTTTTCTGGAATATAATATCATAAACTCTATATTCTGTCTCAATAGAAAGAAAGACTACATTTTACTAGAAGACTAGTTTATATGTGTAGGGTGCAAGGGTAGCAGAAGGAACTATGTTGACCAATATCCAAACACTGTTATTTTCAAGTATCTTTCTTACAGCTTTTACAAATGACTCCTAAATATAACTTCTGAAGTAGCAAAAAAATTACAGTACTTTCTTTGTCCCTTGTCACTTTTGTTTGGTAATTCAAGGCAGTTCCACTATTGCACCAAGTTGTTTTGCCCAGAAAATACATTCTTCTAATTATTTTTAATACATAATCAGTTCCATATTCTCTACTATTTTCTTGACTTTCTACTTTGAGCCCTAATCTTGGTGTCACATGCATGTTTTTGAACACATACTTCTATAGATCCTATGATCAACAAATATAGACTTTACTAGGAAAATATAGTTGGAGAATTACAGAGAAGATTCTCTAACCCACTTATCTTTTCTAATTTTTTTCCATATGTGAGGTTTGACCATAAGTGCTTTCCTGGCCCTTCTTCATTTCCAGGTAGACTGGTAGATTAATTTTTAAATACATATCCTGGTGGAATGGGAGGCATACCATAAGTTTTTAAATAATTTACTGTAGAACAGATTCTCAGGGATTTTTTTTCCATTTTTTCCCCCTGGAAACACAAATACCTTACCACTAGTTAGTTGACATAAAGAGAATAAGTATGTTCATAAGACAGTATATTCATTTTCTATTACACCCATAACAATTCACCACAAATCTAGGCAGCTTAAAACACCATGAATCTATTTTATAGCTTTACAGGTCAGAATTAAGGATCTTACTGGACTACAACTAATGTATCAGTAAGCTGCATCACTTACTGGATGTTCTAGAGGATAATCCAGTTCCTTGCTCTTTCAGGTTATTGGGAGAATTTGGTTTCTTGCAATTGTAGAGACGCAGTTTCCATTTCCTTGTGGCCTAAGAGTACTGGAAACACCCAGATTCCAGAAGCTATCTGTCTGCCTTGGCTCATGGCCCTTTCCTGTTTCCTTCAAAGTCAGTTATAGCAGGAAGATTGAGTTCTCCTCGCTCTTTGACTCTTTCTTGCCATCTCTTCCATTGCCACATCTCCTGAAAAACCTTTGCCTTTTTCTTCCATAAAAGTGTCCATGTGATTGCACAGACTCACTCAGATAAAGTGAACTGATTAGTCTTAACTCCATCTAAAATTTAATTTCCTTTTGCTTTGAAAAATAATAGAATTATAAATTCCAAAGATGTGTGAATGCCTTTAGGAAGTCATTATTCTGTCTACAATAGGGTGAAAGTGCATACTAAAGATTAAGCAAATCTTTAATTCTATTTCTTAGGAAAGGTACCCATCCGAATCCAACATATATTAACTGAGTCTCAGAGGGCATCTGAAGTTTTTCATAGACATTCAATAGTGCTTCCTTAATGTCTATATTTTTCTTTTATTCAGAGTAAATTTAAATAAAACATAAATGTTTTACTTGTCCACATTTCAGTCAGACAAAATGCCATATATTCATTCAATCATTTCATTTTCCTCCTTAGTAGTTAAGAAAACTACATTTTCTGCCTACTGTGGTGGTGTCATGTAACTAATGCTCCTTAATACCATGATGGTAAATACATATTGTGCATTTCCTGACTTGGACTATTAAAAATTATATCCTTCATGAATTATTTTTCTCTTCTTTCCCTTTTTTTGTGGTCAGGGAGAAAATGTGTTCAGTATGCTGACATAATGAATGATATGATAGAGCTTGAGTCCAACATAGGGCATGTCTTATTTCTGCCACCATTCATGGAAGGCATCTGCATGATGAAGGAATGCACTTTACTTTGCTAAGTATCTGGAATTTGAGGGCACTTTGTCATAGCCTTTAGACCACCTTGTCCAATATACACTGGCGAATGTTTGCTAAGCATTTATTTTCTCAAGAGCTTGAATTATAAGTTATCAAATATAAGAAAGGCCAATCATTTTAGATCTGTGGTGACAGATTTGACTGTGGATCATAACAGATAGATAGATAGGCAGACAAATAGACAGACTGACAGATACCGTCAGAAGATATCAGGTCCAGCTTTCATTTTGTCCAGATGAGAATCTGAGATTTGAACTCCTTAAATTATTGCTTCTATTTTGATAGCAGAGACAACAGTGGAACCCAAATGTCTTAATTCTTAGCCCAAATAAGGTTTGACTTCTTTGACATTGTCATACTTAGTATAGCTGATGAGACTTGTTGGAATGAGAATGGAAATGGTATGTAAATTAAGTAATTAGAAGAAAATACATTTAAGTTAATTTTTCAAAATTGTCCATAAATTAAATTTCTTTGCTCAAGTTTATTTTTATAACACCTCTACCTCTACACAAATGTCTATAATTAGGCAATTTCAAGCTATGAAATGGATTGTGAGATACAATGTACCTCTCAACTTCACTGAAAATAATTTCTTAAGTCTCAGTGTCAACTTATGACTTTTTCACATTCTTTTCCTTAGATACTCTTCATTCTACACCTACTCTGCTTAAATTTTGCTTACCCACAAGAATTTTATTAAATATTTGAAAAGTAGTGATTGGAGAGAAACATGTTTACTTTTTAAAGAAAGACACACTTTGACTAATTGGCAACAAAAATGTCAGCAGTTGTTGACTTGCTGCTGAGTAAGTGAGAAGAATGTTGATTGCAACCGAAGAGTCATCACACACTTTCCAGCTATCCACCTGTTCTCATCAGGAATGATGGAACAAATTTTTTCTCCCATATAAAGTATCCTGATGATGGTCCTAAGTAAAACATAAAATGTATTTCCAATAACAAGTGTCTTAATTACATTCTCATTGCTGGGACAGTATCTGACACCCACAATTTAAAGGAGAAAAGGTTTATTTTGGCTCACAGTTTGTAGAGGTTTCAATCCATAGTCAGTTGGCTAAGGCAGGGTGGCATGGGAGATGAGGAGCAGTCCATGTCAGGGTAGGCAAAAAGGAGAGAGAAGGATCAAGGGAGGAAGGAGGTAGACAGATCCTTCCTGGCCACACCTCTAGTGAGCCTCCTCCTCCAATCAGGTTTCACTTCACAACATGACACTTAGCTGTGAACTCATCAGTGGACTAAGCCATTAATAAGTATCAAAAGGGTATGATCCAATCACCTCCAAAAAGTCCCACCTATGACTACTTGAGGCTTTGGGGGGACAAGTAGATATAAACCATAATAAAAATTTACTTATGGATAAGTTTTTCCACTTCCTTCAACACCATGCAACTCATTGCCTGGGAATAAATTAAAGTATTATTTAAAGTAACTCAATGTTTATAATGTTATACCTATAATACACACACACATGTACACACATGGAAATTTATTTAAAACTTGATGCCAACATTGTCCTATTTTGTGTCAACATGGAGGTGTGAAAGCTCTTTATATTCATAGCTTGATTAAATTTCTATTTCCCTCTTTTACTTATATTTATCAAATAGGAAGAATGGATGATATTTGAATAATTGCTTTATACTCAATCAAAAAAAATAAGAAGAGGTAAAGGGTGGAGTGAGAAGGGGGAAATTATTATACTAAATTATAATTCTTTTGTGTTTCTGATTGCTGGTCACAGTGAGAATTTGTCTAGAGAGAGGTATCACTTCTGAAACTAGCCAAGTGGAAAATGACTGGCTTCATTAGAAACTGCAGTGATGAAAGCAGTCATGTACTATGAAACATACTTTAATTCAAATATAAACTGTGAGCATAGTTCTGGTTGTAGAAATTGAGTAATTTTTTATTCAAACTGACTTAGATCTTAATAGCACTAATTATCAAAACATGGTCTATCACTCCAAGACCTTTGTTGTAATCATGCAAAGGTTAAAAAAGAAATTGAAGAAATACAGGCTGGTAGTCTATCGGGAAGGCTCTGACCAGATGGGGTCTTTGGCTCTGGGAAATAACCCTCTACACAGCTCAGGAAATACTCTGCAGCCCTAGCTGAGCTGCCTCTCAGTCACATGTACTATTGTTGTACTGGTCAGAAAATCTCCAAGTACTTTTTTGTGTTAAACATAATTCCACTAATATCAATAAGCAAAATTGTCCTTGAAGATCTGAGATCTTTAAAGGATTAGTAATTTCCATTGAAACAAAATATTAAAAACACTATCTCAGGTCCTAGTTCAAGTATTTTGAATTATATTTTTCTAAATTGATCTGGGCTCACACCATACCAAGTCTTGTTTGTTCTGTGTTATGGCTTAGAATTAAAATGTCCTCCTAAAAGTTTCACATGTTTGG